GTTCTTCCTTCGTTTTTTTTTTCTCTCTTTTGCATCTTTGTTTTCCCCATTTTGGTGAAAAAAAAAAATCATAATTTGCAAGGAATGATAGCTAGAAAGATGACAACTTTGCTTGACAAGAAGTTCGAGAAAATATACGAAGTATTCCCTTTGTTCTTTTTTATTGGTTACGTTTTGATATTTGACCTAAACAAAAGTGTGTCTATAGAAAAATAAAAAAACACATTCAACTAACCTCATTTGAAATTTGAATATTAAATCTACGACCGTTAAATCTAATTATGATTTTAAATTTGTACACTTGTATATACGGTAAAATCATTAAAACTTTTATTAAAATGAACTTAACCTTTTGAGTAAAGACGTACTATTGAAAATAGCTTAAGCTAACAAGAAAACATGATTGAAGTTTAGCAAAAACAAGTCGAGTGGAATATAGATCACAAGCCAAATTTCTACCATGCGTGATAATTCCATTACCCAAACAAGTGTAGAAGTAGTGCCTCTAATATTACACCACTTGAATTTGTCCTTACAAACAAAGAAACCCCGGTAACCCAAACTCTGTCCTTACCTAAACAACCAATTCCCACATTTTCAAATTTCAAAGCTCCCTTTCTTCCTTTATAAACAGCTATTCTTAGCTCTAAATACAATCACACCATTCAAGTGAACACAAATAATTAAGTTCGACATTAATGGCGGAAGAGTGTAAAATAACAACACCACCACCAGCACTTGTGGCAGGACTAGAAATGGGGACAATGAGTGGTCCATTGGCATCATCACCTTCTCCGTTTTCGATAAGTCGAAAAGTGAGGCCTGCTATGGTTGATGGTGTTCATGTGATGCTACGGCTGCTTTGTTTGGTGAGTTCAATGGTAGGATTGTCTTTAATGGTTACTGCTAAACAATCATCAACTTTATCTCTGTATGGGTTTCAGCTCCCTGTTTACTCCCACTGGTCTTTTTCTGACTCTTTTGAGTAAGTCTTCTTTTAATACTCCCCGTAATTTTATTTATGTTGTTTGATTAAGTAAATGACCGTCTCAGTTTACTTGCCCCACATAACCAAATAAATTCCCAAGAAACGGTCAAATGAAACAAGTAAAGTGAGACGGAGGGTGTATGTAATTTGTCCTAGAGGTTTCTGAGTATTGGCTAATAATGTACAGGTATCTGGTTGGAGTTTCAGCAACAGTTGCTGCTCACTCTTTACTTCAGTTGTTGATTAGTGCGGCGAGGTTGCGAAAGAAGGCTGTTGTTATTCCCTCTCAGAAATATGCTTGGGTTATCTATGCTGGTGATCAGGTGAAAATCTAATGAAACTGTGAAATGCATCTATGTTACATTTACATGTAATATTTCTGCTAGTTAAATTGATGCAGATTATGTTTTTTGCATTTGGAACCTAATAGGGAAACAAAATTTTATTTTATACACTTACATCATGATTTTATTTTGTGAGGCAGATATTTGCATATGCAATGATGAGTGCAGGCTCAGCTGCTTCAGGGGTGACTAGCTTGAACCGAACAGGAATCAGACACACAGCTCTGCCTAATTTCTGCAAGCCTCTGCACGCTTTCTGTGACCGAGTTGCTGCCTCCATTGCGTTCACCTTCCTGAGTTGCATCTTGCTCGCCGCCTCTGCTGTTCTTGATGTTATTTGGCTAACATGTTACTGACTTATTTTTACTCTTGTTTGTAGTTGCTCTTGGTTTTAGCCGCGACTATTATGTACTCATAAACTGAGGATTGCTAAACTAGAGATGTATTCTGTTAGCCAGTCCTTTTATAATTCATTACTCTAGTGATTGTTGTAAATGTTGGGAAATTGGGATTAGCATTCTCAACTGAGAAAATATGAAGCAAATAGTAGCAGTGACTGAAGCTTCTTAATCTATGAATTATTGACTAATGGAACAATATGTACTACTACTATAACATGTTGTACCATTGATGAAAGTTATGCACTTCCTATTACAAAGGCTTGTTTTTTTAAGAAGAGAAATTATATTCATAAATTGTCCAATGTTATGTTTCTTGAGTTGAAGTAGTACAATGTCTGGTGGAAAGTCTGGAGTAAAATAAAAAATGTTGATAATTGGGTTTGCTCAATATGTTGCCAACAGATTTTAATAGTTAGAAGTGAGTTTGTAGTTAGTTTGCAATACTTGTGAAAAATAAATACACTAGCTACTTTAAATTAGTGAAAAATTGAGCAAAGTTTGATTAAGTCTAAAATCTGAGCAAAGTTTGATTAAGTTACCTTCAAATGCTCATGAAATCCAAGTTTGCTAGCATTTTTTTTTTAACACAATGACTTGTTTACCTTGGTGATATTTTGTAGATTAGGGTAATTCACACTAAGATCATGTAACAAACTCTTTAAGCATTTCACTTTAGAATATGGTGTAATTGGTGTCACCATGCATGTTGCCTATTGTTAAATTTAGAAACAATTTGATATGGGCGTGGGCAACCCGAACAAGGAGAAGGAGAGTTTGGTCCACAAACAAGGCTTTGGAGCTTCCATACTAAAACCAATTGGCAATAGTAAGAGGTACTCCTCTACCTTATAAAGTGAAACCATCTCTCCTCTTTCTCCAATGTGGGACACTCATAAGTGGATTACAATGGGTTTCAACACTCCCCCTCACTTATGAGCGTCCTTAGAATTTTATAGCTAACTGGATTAGGCCAGATCAATAATCCTCTTAGGGGCTGGACATCCCGTCGAGGTAAATCCTTATCCAGTAGCGATTAAATACCCAGTTTTAGAAGAGACCTATAACCTGGGCTCTGATACCATGTTAAATTTAGAAACAATTTGATATGGGCGTGGGCAACCCGAACAAGGAGAAGGAGAGTTTGGTCCACAAACAAGGCTTTGGAGCTTCCATACTAAAACCAATTGGCAATAGTAAGAGGTACTCCTCTACCTTATAAAGTGAAACCATCTCTCCTCTTTCTCCAATGTGGGACACTCATAAGTGGATTACAATGGGTTTCAACACTCCCCCTCACTTATGAGCGTCCTTAGAATTTTATAGCTAACTGGATTAGGCCAGATCAATAATCCTCTTAGGGGCTGGACATCCCGTCGAGGTAAATCCTTATCCAGTAGCGATTAAATACCCAGTTTTAGAAGAGACCTATAACCTGGGCTCTGATACCATGTTAAATTTAGAAACAATTTGATATGGGCGTGGGCAACCCGAACAAGGAGAAGGAGAGTTTGGTCCACAAACAAGGCTTTGGAGCTTCCATACTAAAACCAATTGGCAATAGTAGGAGGTACTCCTCTACCATATAAAGTGAAACCATCTCCCCTCTTTCTCCAATGTGGGACACTCATAAGTGGACTACAATGGGTTTCAACACCTATTCATATTGAGAGCGTGCACTCCTTAACTATTATATAATACTCCTTTTATCCCTATTTAGTTGACACACTTTAACTGACACAATGTTTTAAGCAAATTTATTTAACTTACTCGCATTATTTTATTACATGATATTCTCTCTGTTTCTAAAAGTTATTCTAAAAAAAGGTGGAGTTTTGAAATTACTCTAATATCATGTAACAAACTCCTTAAGCAATTCATTTTACCATACGATGCAATCATTCATGTTGCCAATTCATATTGTGAGTGTGTACACCTTTGATCCTTTATTGTTGTCCCTATTTAATTTACACACTTTAAATGACACAAAGTTTTAAGCAAATTTCATTAAATTACTCGCATTATTTTATTGTATAATATTCTCTATGTTTCTAAAATTTCTTCTCAAAAAAAGAAAACGTCTTGAGTTTTCAAACCTTTAGGAGAGGATGCCTATTCCAGGCGTTTTCACCTTAGATGTTCGAAAATCTCTAACATTTTGCCACAATCCAAATTTTATTTTAAAAAATGATATGATTTTAATGCCTGTGATGATCTAGCCCTCTGCTAATGGGGGTAGATGACTCGGTGGTGATTTGTTGAGAGGAGAAAATGTTAAAGTGAGTAAAAAAGCAATAAGTCTATTGTGCACCCTGGTCCACCTAAGATAGCTGGACCACAGGCGATTGTTCAGATTTTATTACCAAATGTTCAAAAGTATGGGCGTGGTGCAGTGTTCGGATTTTTTTTACAAAATGTTCAAAATTTGCAATTGTTCAGATTTATTACGAAATGTTTAAAAGTATAGTCACACATTGAGATTGTTAAGATATTTTTACTAAATGTTCAAAATTTGCGAGGTTCAGATTATTTTACTTAATGTTCAAATTTTGCAATTGTCCAGATTTTTTTTTACTAAATGTTCAAAAGTGTAGGCGTGGTCATTGTGATTGTTCAAATATTTTTACTAAATGTTCAAATTTACGATGTTCGGATTTTTTTTACTAAATGTTCAAAATTTGCAATTGTACAGATATTTTCACTAAATATTCAAAAATTTTGATGTTCAATTTTTTTTTAAAATTTTAAAAAAATATTCAAAATTTACAATTGTTCAGATTTTGTTTACTAAATGTTCAAAAGTATCAGGTAATCGATCAAAATATAACAGATGCGAATTAATCGATCGAATTAACTTCAACAAATTCAATATATTGATATTAGAACAATGATTTCATCTACAATTTCATCTTAAAATAAAAAAAAATACGTACACCTTAACGAGAACAGTAAAAAAAATCCGTTAACCGATTACGAATTGAAACCAATCAAATTAGTTTTCACAAATCCAATTGATATTAAAACAATTTTTTCATCCACAAGTTCATCTCAAAATCAAAAAATAAATTAACATTGATCACAATGAGTTCATAATAACAAACCTGGATTGATATCTTTGGGAATTGAAAATTGTTCCATCACGTTAAATGCAGAAATTTAATGGAAAAAAAAAATCAAAGAACAAAGGAGAGAGAAAATAAGAATTTGAAAAAAAAAACGAATGAAGTAATTCAATAAAGAAATAAAAAGATATTAGATTAAAAGAGAGAGAGAGAGAGTTTTTGTAAAAAAGGAAACAAAATTTTGTAAAGATGATGGGAAGAAGAATAAGAGAATGAAGTTGTGTTTCATTTATAGGGGTCTAGCTATTTTAGATGGACTAGGGTCCATAAAAGAATTTGCAGTAAAAAAGCACGTGAAGGTAAATTCGAGTAGTAATGTCATAATACGGGCGTTACCGATAAAACACGGGTAACGTTTTAAATCTTCAGCCCATGGAAAAAGGAATACTCGGCAGTTAAATTCTTGGATTTGCCTATCTCAATTTTTTCTGCAACGCCTATGCTTTCCTAAGCAGATGAAAACTGTCTGAAACTTCAATTTCACCAAAGCATGCTGTACCAATTTGCAATTACTTGGGCGCGCCTCAATCAAGTTTGTGTTCATTTCTCTCAATTCTATTTCATTCTTGTTAATTAGTAGTATAATTATTTGTAAATTTCATGGCTTTGATTAAACACCCATTTCCCTTGTTTAATTTTCCATCAAAATCCCAAAAACATAATTGCCCATTTCATGTACAACCTAGAATTTCATGTCAATTGTCTAAAAACTCACAAGATGATGACGAGAACAAGAAACCCAATAATGGGTTGGAACTACTTAAGTTGTCTGTCACTCTAACAGTGATTTCAACCGCGCTGCCACAACCGGCTGTGGCGGCGAAAGTGTCCGAAAAGAAGCGTAGTGCTAAGAAAACAGTAGAAGCATTGACCCCAGAACAGTTTAAATCATGGTCTCAGGGTTTGCCTGTAGTTAGAGATAGGTTACCCTTTACTGAGGTATTGAATTTGATGGAGGAGGGTAAGCTTAAGCATGTAATTAAGCCTACTAGTGCTGCATTAAGGCGAAAACCCGAGTGGGTTTTGGTTGTTTTGGATGATTCTAGGGTTTTCAGGACTGTGTTGCCCTCATTTGAGGGTAATCCTAACTTTTGGAGTAAATGGGATGAGTTGAAGATTGATTCATTTTGTGTGAATGCATATAGTCCACCGGTTAAGAAGCCGGAGATTCCTTCCCCATACTTGGGGTTCTTGTCGAAGGTACCCTTTTGGGTGATCAATTCATTTTTTAAAACGAAGCCACAGTCAAAGAAGGCTTTGGAGTTGAAGAAGATGAGGGAGGAGTTGAAGAGGCAGAGAAAAGAGGACATGAAGGCAATGAGGGAGGAGAGGGAGATGATGGAGAAGATGGTGAAACAGCAGAAGAAGATTGAGGAGAGAACCAAGAGAAGGGAATTGCAGAAGATGAAGCACGAACAGTCATTGCGTCAAGCTCGGAAGAATTATAGAGAAATGGGTTATATATGGATTTCTTTGGCTAGAGACAAAAATGTGGCTACTGCCCTTGGGGTTGTCTTCTTTATCATATTCTACCGGATAGTTGTTCTTAATTATAGGAAGCAAAGGAAGGATTATGAGGACAGAATAAAGATTGAGAAAGCCGAGGCAGAGGAAAGGAAAAAGATGAGGGAGCTAGAGAGGAAAATGCAAGGATTGGAGGGTGAAGATGAAGAAGGAGAAGAAGAGGGGAAGGGTGGTGAGCAAAACGCTTACATGAAGATGGCTTCACAGTTCATGAAGTCTGGTGCTCGTGTTCGTCGAGCACGCCATAAAAGACCACCTCAATTTTTGGAGAGAGATGTAGATGTGAAGTTTTCAGATGTTGCTGGGCTTGGTAAAATACGAATTGAGCTGGAAGAGATTGTTAAATTTTTCACACATGCAGAAATGTATCGCAGAAGAGGAGTGAAGATACCAGGTCTGATCTCTGCAAATTTCTTATGTCTTCCATTTTATATATACCTGAATTTTGTTGTTGCCAAAAGCCATGTAGTGGAAACTGGGTCTGTTGACTAAATCAGTTTTGCAGTGCCTTTTTTCTCTGTACCTCCTTTGGCTAATAACTTGGATTGCATTTCTCATATTAACTGAAAAATTACAAAACAAGGTCCTGTAATCCTTCCTCACACGCTGTGTGAAAGATCTTCATCTTCACCTGGATATGAGTCATATGACTGCTATCGCATAAATAGCTTGCGCTGTCATTTAACTTGTTTCTGTGCCTGTCAGTAAAAGACTAAAAGCTTCTGATTAAAGGTTTGTGGCAAACAAGTGGAAGTGAAAGCATTTTTATTTTTGGGTATTGTTATACGAGAATAGGCAGTGATGTTCTTTAGAGAAATTTAAAAAAGAAGCCTCAATATGAAATTTTGCAGGCAACCAGTGGGTGTTAAATGTATACCCCCTCAAGAGTTATTTGAGAATTGGCCTTCTGAAGGAAATTGTGGTGCACTATGTTTTGTCTAGCAGACCCCAAGCAGTTGATGTTCAACTTTCCTCTCTCCTTTGCCACCAGTTGTGTCACTTTTTCGTCCTTACGGTTTACATCCTAGCCGTTTTGGCCTTTCTTCCTTCTTTTCTCAGCTATTCTTTCCTTGTATAGCTGTTCTTCCTTTGTTTGCTTTATATTTATAACTTTATGGTCTGAAGTGCTTTATTTACTATCTAGAATTCTAGTTAATAAATACATTATCATCATCAATACTAGCAATCCACTAACTAAAATGCTCCTTTTCCACTGATCCATCCCCTCATGTTGATGTGTTTCTTTCAGAAAATATATAACTAGTACTTATACTGGCAGCACTTCTTATTCAGCTATTTTGTTTAGGAGGGCACACTGGTTATTCAGAAAGAGAGAGGGGGGGGGGGGGGGGGGGGGGGGGGGGGGGGAGGGGGTTCTTTGCATCTTCACTTCCCACCTGATTTACTACTAACTCTCTTTCGAATTTCTTTTAATACATTGTGAATCCATAGCCTTATGCAATTCAGAGGAAACGATTTTCTGAGTGGATTTAGATAACGTTAATTACACCTGCTGCTCTTATTAAAATGAGTTTTCTGGTTGCTAGATGCAATCAGCATATGTTTTTCTGTATCTTCCTGGAGTGCAAGACATACATTGATGGTGAAATGTGAAATTAGCCCTTTAGAGTCTATAGCGGTAGAAATGCATCTAATTTCCTAGCAAGCCTGTTGAGTAGAGTCCAAAGTGGTGCTATAACCACTGCCTTTTCCACTATTTTTTTGTGACTAAAAGCTTGGTTAGAACTTAGATCTGCCATTATTCTCCCAACTTATCACAGGATAGAAAAAAAAGCTGCCCACCACAGTATCTTCCACCTCTTATTCTTCACATGAAAGAAAAAAAAAGGGAAAATATAATACTCCACAAGATAGGTCCAAAAGTTTTCTTTTCTTTTTCCGAGGAGGTTTTCCTTGATCCAGGCTTTAAATCCCTCTGAGATCATTTGAGGGGGTTTTAGAAGATCCCATATCTCAGCTATAGGGAAGTGTTTCACTGGTTCAGATATATGTGGGCAAAAGATACAGTTAGTATTGAAATCAGGGATCCTGTTAGCAATGGTTTGAGCAGTAGGATTTCTGCTCCAATTCAACTGTTTGTCCAGAAAAACATTTTAATTTTGGGGTGTCAAGGAGATACCCATACCCATTCCCGCTCATCCCTGATTCCCTGCTGAGTGCTTACAGTCTAACACCATTATCTTTGATTGAGTAGTGCATTTCAAGGAAAATTTACCTTTGGAGACTAATTAGAGGATGTCTTTGATTGAGTAGTGCATTTCAAGGACATGATGTTCTTTATACTATGAAGAAATCCTAGAAATTTTCATGGACATATAACAGGTAGGCACAGAGGCTTTCATCTTATTTGGATAATCCCAGTCTAGTTACCATTTTGTTTTATGCAGTTGTATCTTTCTTATTCATTCCCCAGAATCTATTGTAGGCTCTTAAAGAAGAATTTGAACCCTTGTCAGTGCTTTTCCATGTATTGGAAGTCTTGTTGAAACTCCTGGGTTCATAATTTTCATTTCAATAGTTATCTTTGAGAAATTTTGTGTGCCTGAGTCTTATCAGCTTCAAGTCACAACTTTGCCAGACCAGATTGTTAGGTCTTTGCACTAGTGGAGCCCTAATCTCTTTTTTTTTTTTTTTTTTTTTTATTGGTTTGCAAATATGTCCCCTGGAAATCCAGTGAATTTTTTTTTTTTCCATTTGTATATCATTATATCAATACCTATATAATCTACCAGAAATTCTATCAAGATTATTCATGATTGGTCTAAGCTGATTGTATTGAGGAATTGATTGGAGAAGTATTTTGGTATGCTTTTCAGCCTTGACCAGCATTTTGACTTCCAAGATGAAGCTATGCTGTTTTTTTTTTTATTTTTTATTTTTTTAATTTCCCCCCCCCCCCTTTTAAGAGGGATGCTTGAGTAAGCTTTAAGTCTTCACATTCCTTGAAGTTATCAATTTTAGTTTGGGAGGAATTTGGGGGGGGGGGAAGTTGTTTTGCTCATTGAGGCATTCATTTTTTGGCTAGACTTCATAAAACAGGGGTCGAGATTTCACTTACTGCCAAACTGCATCAGAATCTTAAATTTCACTTCCCCTAACAGAAAGAAGTTATCCACAAACATAAATGCAATACTTCCTGACTACGCTTTGTAAAAGAGAAATGCTTTTAAGTTAAAGAGTCTTTCCATACAGAGAATAAGGACTTCTGGTGTTAGAATTACTCTGTGTCTTATTCTTCAAGATGCCTTAATTTCCTGAGGTTGACTTCCAAAATTCTATTTATGATTTCTTAATAGATATTCGATGGAAAGTATATAAAATATACGAGTTATGAATAAAATGTGACCATATCACTCAAACCTCCCGGTACCAAATAAAACATTTTTTTGCTTGTCCTTGGTTTCAGTTTCAATTGTTTAGTCATTTTAGTGCTTCACGTTGTTTCTTTTGTTAAACTGTTAATAAATTGCTGCATCAACTTCTTGAAGGTGGGATTCTTCTTTGTGGACCCCCTGGAGTCGGTAAGACACTGTTAGCAAAGGCTGTGGCTGGTGAAGCTGGTGTAAACTTCTTCTCTATATCTGCCTCTCAATTTGTGGAGATATACGTTGGTGTTGGTGCTTCTCGTGTTAGAGCACTTTACCAAGAAGCAAGAGATAATGTAAGTACATCTTTGTTACTTAAAGTCATACTCAAATTGAAGGTCCTTATTTTCTCTTGATTCTCCCAGAATGTGTTCTAGTACTAGCGCAAAACATGTTGACGGTTTTCACCCTCTTTTGTTATTATAAAAACTTTGTCTTTGTATTCTTACTAAAGTTCTCATTTCATATGTCTCGTGCTCATCTTTTCTGTTATAAGTGAGCAAGATTCGCAAAAGATTGAAAGATGAGCTAACAGTAACATGTCTGTAATGGTTTGGGACTTGGATAGGCTCCAGCTGTTGTCTTTATTGATGAATTGGATGCTGTTGGGAGGGAGCGCGGTCTCATAAAAGGTTCAGGTGGACAAGAGCGTGATGCTACTTTAAATCAGGTTTAGTTATCTTGTCCCACTTCCATAATGTTTGTTGAAGCAGAGACATGGAACTTTTCATGATACAGTTAGTTATTTATCTTCCTTTTTTTATATCAATGACAGCTCCTTGTGTGCTTGGATGGGTTTGAAGGCAGAGGGGAAGTGATAACTATTGCTTCGACAAATAGACCAGACATCTTAGATCCAGCACTTGTTAGGCCTGGTAGGTTTGACAGGAAGATACATATTCCAAAACCTAGTCTTCAAGGGCGTATCGAAATTCTAAAGGTGCATCAGATTTATTTTCGTATGTATTCATAAGCCAGATAATGTCAATCAAATCTACTTTGACAACGTGTGGCAATTTTAAAGCCGTTTGCCCTCTTGGAATAACCTTCTCCCCTTAACATCTACTTACTATTCTTATGTCTTCTGGACTTAGGTTCATGCTCGCAAGAAACCAATGGCAGAGGATGTGGACTATATGGCTGTTGCTAGTATGACTGATGGTATGGTAGGGGCAGAGCTTGCAAATATTATTGAGGTTGCTGCTATCAGTATGTTGCGTGATAGCAGAAGTGAGGTAATTTTATTCTTGGAAGCATTGGACTTTGATGGCTCATATTTTCCTTGCCAGTGAAAGTTTGCAGAAATGTGAATAAAGATCAGTTCTTTTATGAAACATTTCTTGGAAATTAGACACTAACTCCAAATACTGATTTGTTAGCTATTATAAAGAGAAGAAAATTTTATTATCCCATTGCCCTTCCTTTTTTTCCCTCCTCCCGAATAAAAATATAAGAGAAAAAAATCCATCACTCACCTATTTTGGAATACAGTCTTTTGCTTTCATGGCAACTGTATCACCCATGTACATTCCCCCTTGTAAAATTATTGGATTTCCCTATGTTTTAAGTCTGCATCAAAGTTAACTGAATTTTACTTGACAGCATTACCACCATATTTCGTTGTTAAATTCAAGATCAGTAAGAATGAAAGCAAAACTGAGAGGCACTTCCATGTTCCAACCTGTTAGGTTAACCTAAACTTGAGAACTTTGGATCTAGGTTTAGCCTTTTTTAATCAGAAAAGGATATGCATCAATTGTTTATTTAAACCCAAAGTGCACTGACTTAGCTGACTAGATTGACTTGAATGCACCTCTCCTAGTAACCTCCATTAAAATGTTACCAAGGTAGTGTTTGTAAAACTGCCCCAGTGAAGTTGGTCACTCTCTAGGTCTATAATCATTAGTCATTATTTTTCGTTGCGGTATGCAGATAACAACGGATGACTTGTTACAAGCTGCACAATTGGAAGAAAGAGGAATGATTGACAGGAAGGAGAGGAGTCCTGAAATGTGGAAGCGTGTAGCTCTCAATGAAGCAGCACAAGCTATAGCAGCTGTGAACTTTCCTGATCTTAGAAATATAGAATTTGTATGATCCTATCCTGGCTTTGTTTTTATCATTTTTCAAATATTATTCTCATTGATGAAGTTGTCTTCTCTGTCATGATATTGTATTAAAATTTTATATCTTTCCTGGCAGGTAAATATTGCTCCTAGGGCTGGCAGGGAACTTGGTTATGTTCGTTCTAAAATTGATCATATCAAATTTAAGGAGGGAATGCTAAGGTAGATTTCCCTCAGTACCACTATTCTGTAGTCATGGCTGTCCTTCCTGTATTTGGTATACAAGTCATACAATAGTGTACAACAACAAAACAGCAAATGTAGATCTTACTGTTGACAGTATAGAAAGATGTGGGTATACCTAGCTTTATACGAGGCTGTTTCTCAGATTCAACGTAAAAGAAATGTTGATGAAAGAAAACAATGATGGGCAGATAGTAGCAAATTTATGGTAAGAACTAAGAAGTGTAGTAAGTAGTAGTAGAACATAAATCTACAACCAAAGCATGAAAGCCAGAGAAAGGACCTATAAGATACTGTCTGGTTATGTATGTCTTTTGAGTTCTGGACTTTTGGTACCACCTATCTTGATTTGTATCTTCAATACAGCCATATTCTGGAATAAGCAGTTAGAACAATGAGAAATAAATAGTACTCTGTAATACAAAATTCATTTTGTGCAGTTATGTGCAACTCACAAGCAAACAGGTGTCTCAACTTATAGCTCATCTGACCTTCATTCATGGTGCCTTAAGATGCATATAGCTGATTTCAGAGTTGCAGTCTTCATTCAAAGAATCTACTCACCTTCTCTGTTATCTTCTTTATGCAGCCGGCAGTCTCTTTTGGATCACATTACAGTTCAGCTAGCATCTCGAGCAGCTGATGAGATATGGTATGGTGAAGATCAGGTGAGGGAAAATTAGCATGGCTTGTGTGATGTTTCTGAAATATCAAAATTCAAAAATATTCCTGCATTTTTCTAGGTTGTGCAAGTTTAAGTCTGTAGATTGTTAACTGCCACTCTTGTTGCCCATCTATGCTTTTTAGTGTTATGTCTTTTCTGTTAGGCTGTGATTATAGTAAGAATTAAGAAGTAAAGGTCAAGTTAGCAAGAATTTTAATTCAGTGTCCCATAGTTAAAAAGCTTCCTATCTGCAACTAATTTAGTTCTACTTTTCTCTTGTTTCATGATATGATGTTCAAGTGGCATGCTTGCTGTATCATAGATTAACTCCAAATCCATATAAAGTTTCCAGCCCAAGTAGTACTTTATTTGACGAAAGCCTCTTATTTCAGCAAATAGACATTTGTTAAATACAAATTTTTGATGGAGCATTATGCTGTGAGAAAATAATTAGCTTTCTTGGTAAAGCTAATTATGGGGGATTTGCTGTTGGATGGCAAATAGACTCTAGATACTCTAAACTTGCAGTGCAGTCTTGTATACTTAAGATTATAAAAGGTTCTGGAATTTAGTGCTTTGCTATGGTTTAGCCTGTCTGCACTGTACTTATTTAAAAATAAGTGTGGCACTTGAGATTTGGCACAAATGTGAAAACACTGCTGGGAAAGTGAGAGGTTCTTTGAGTGATTGAGTCACCAGGCCATTGATAAGTTGACGGGAACATTGCTAATGTATTTCTTCTATTCTTTTCTTCATGAATGTCAGTCTCTTTCTGAACTTCTAGTTTTGTACATCTGGACGAATGTTAATTTGTGTTGTGCATGGATGATACTGCTTAATACTATTTCTCAATTCACTGGACTTCAAATCAAATTCCCAAGGGCTAGGGAAGAGTTTTTTTTTTTTTTTTTTTAAAAGCTACAAAGGCATTACAAATTACAAAAGGGGAAGGGGATTTGAACCTGTGACCTAACGTACACAAGCCCTCGGTCTGGCAAGGGAAGAAGATGATGTGGTAGAGTGTTGTTATAAAAATATCTGGTGTCTGGTTTATAATGTGTATCCTTCTTGATATCTGCTTGCTAGCTTACTAACTTTTGTTTCTTCTGCCCTCCTTGGTAGATATGACTCTAACTGCACTGAACTCTTGCAGTTGAGCACTATATGGGCTGAAACAGCCGATAATGCCCGGTCAGCAGCTCGTACTTTTGTTCTTGGTGGCCTGTCTGAAAAACATCATGGTTTAAACAACTTCTGGGTTTCTGAAAAAATTGATGTAAGCATTCCCAACAGTTGCTTATTACTTTTTGACTAAAGCTCAGTTTTTAGCAGTGTGTTGAACCAAATAAAATTGAGACCAGGTCCCAACTTTAAAAAAAAAAAAAGAAGGGATAACCTGCTTATTCCTGTTTTCGGTATATGTGTCTAATGGTTTGATTAATACATTGCCAATTATCAGGACATTGATCTGGAGGCACTAAGGATAGTCAACTTATGTTATGAACGTGTTAAGAAGGTACAGTAGATGAGTGTTGATTGTGTTATCTATTGGCTGGTTCTATTGTATGACTATTTGTTCTTGTCAGATCTTGCAACGTAACCGGAAGCTTGTGGATGTTGTGGTTGATGTACTCATACAGAAGAAAAGTTTGGCAAAGAAAGAATTTTTTGACCTTGTTGAGATGCATGGATCCCTTGAACCCATGGCACCAAGTATTCTTGATATTAGAGCTGAGAAACGTAAGCTGCTCCAAGAAACGATTTCAAATCAGAAAGCTGCTATTGCTAGCAAAGTTTAAGTGAGAAACTTATAGGACCTTCTGTCTGCTTTCAGGTGATTATTTTTTTCGACTATTTCTTGTCATCATGGATTCTATTTTTTCCTTTGATCATTTATCTTTCAAGGGTCAATGAAAAACAACCTTTCTTTTTTCTGGGGGATAAAGTACATCTGTACATCAGAGTATCAGACCCATCTGGCCCAATGTACTCGATCTCCAACCCAGGGAAGATTATTGGCTGGCTTATTTTGTTCTGAAAATTAATGATGAAAAAGAAAAGAAAAAGAAATTTAATCTTCTTTCTTTAGAAGATTGTTTAGTTGCCAACATTTTCCCATCTATCATCTTAGCTTTACTTGTAATCTATGGAGTACTTGTATGCGAGTATATAAAATGATAATATTTCAGTTGGTTACTTGGTTATCAATTATATTTATTACCTAGTTGTTAGTATTATGCTAATCAAAGGAAATATGACTTGCATTTTGTTTGCATTAAGCTGTGCATAACTGGCTGAACTGAGACTGAAAGTTAACATTTTTTTTAATACTCTGTAAACCTGTTCTCGGCAGGATTGGAGGAGGCGATCTTCAGATCACGAAATCTCTTGTTTGTTTGCTTGAGCAGAACAACTCAGTATTTGATGGTTGTCGTCAAATTCAGAGCGCTGGACCATGGTTGTGTGCTGCTCCTATCTAAATGCCTTATTGTCAGTTGCTGCAGGACATGTACTTCGCCGTTTATGGACTTTCTCTGCAGCTTCAGCGGAGATGCCTTGCTCCTGGTTTGAAAGAGTGGATGTTGGTCAACTGCAGATAGGCGGGCAGCAAAAATGACGTCAGATTTTGCAAAACTTCAAATTTTGCCTTTTTGTATATGAAAGAGCTTCTATTTTTTTTACCCTTCAGAGGATATAGGAGGTGTTTTCTTTTTGTTCCTCTTTTTGACCTGTTGATGATATTGCTATAATCCCTTGGGAAGTCTAATAAATCCATCTAAAATTTTAGTTTTGTAATATCAGCAAGTCAGTAACACTGCACTTTATTGTTTTTTCCCTCATAATTCGAGTTTGTAAAACTAGTAAAAAGAAAGTTTTTGGTGTGGTGAACCCCCTGTGTTTATATGGACCTAACTTTGGGGTGTGTAGTGTGTTCGCGTTGAGCAAATAACTTCTGTACTAATTTTAAATATTAGCCTTGTTGAAAGTACTGTGAAATACTAGCATTTATTTTATGGGATAGTTGAGCTTGCATGCCATGGCACAGCAAATGGGCTACAAACAAACCTCTAATGAATGTGGTAACTCAAGCTACCCCAGAATCCCGGGTTAGCATGCAGGGGCGACAGTAGAAGAACCGTGGGAGCAAGACAAGGGTGGAGATGCGATATTATTTCACCCTATCTAGCTGAAGAATGTGTAGATCCAGATTCACCCAAAGGCTAAGTTCACAATTCAATCAGTGATGAGTATTATGAGACATGATAGTTATGTAATTGACGATGAATGCAGGGATAGTGTTTGGAGTGCACTAATACGGGCAGCAGAGAGCTTGAGCCCTTCTTTGGCCTGCTTTGCATGATCGATTGCTAGGGAATTGTAATCGATTCACAAGACAAAAGACGAATGAACCAAAATGTTTCATCTGTGGAGCGCTAGAAGAAACTTCATTTCAAAAGAGTAGGAATGCAAGATATTAGAAGAGATACTCACTTTTGATACTGCTTGGTTCCTTTTTTCTTGGAAATTTCTTCATTTTGAAAAAATATAAAATAAAAGCTTTTGGCTTATTTTGTAACCTAAATTTAGTCCGTCGAATTAATAATAATAAAGCTAAATTTTTAGTAATATTCATTTCACCTATTTGTGTCAGTGTTAAATTACTTCAATATACATAAGCCATAATGCATATAAAGCGTTACCCTCCGTATAATACATTTTCTTAAGATGATGGGTATAATTCCAGGAATTTATAACAAAATAACGACGTGTTAATTGATATTATCCATGCTTAATAATTCTTAATATTTTCATTTATATTTCTTTTCAAATGCAGCCCCTGCATTTATCATTTTCCAACAATTAATCCTAATATAGTAGTATGTTTTTTTTCAACTGAGCATTTAAAGTTTAAAGCTTTTGACTATTGTGTGCTCTACCTCAAATTATTTCTGTATTTAAATTTTTTTTTTATTTACACAAAGAGTTATTATTATTTTGAAAATTACTCCATACCTTGTACCTCGTATATCATATAACTATACAAGTAATCGAGTACGGAGTATTATACTCTGTATATTCTAAAATATAAACTACAATACTCCGTATGCATTTTCTTTTAAACTATTGAACTTTTTTTTTTTTTTTTTTTTTTTTTTTTTTTTTTTTTTCATTTTTGGTGTTTAGAGAGCCGCAAAGGCGAGGGTGAGAATCGATCCCATGATCTCCTGGAACCGGGAGGGAAGCTCTTACCACTTGAGCAATCCCTCACTCTTACTTTTTTTTTTTTGACGGGTCCCTCACTCTTACTTATTTACTAGCTTAATAAACTATTGAACTTAATTTATTTGAAACAAGTGAAAATAAGATGAAATTAAATGTCATGAGTTGAATATGAAAATAAAATTATACTCCGTATTTGTCATAAAAAAAATACTCCGTATTATAACTTGTAAAATACGGAGTAATTAGATATGTAACAAATCAATTTCATATATATCCAATTGTCATCACAATATATTATCCACCAAATCATATGCCAAGGATATAAACCTACCTATATCTATAGGCTAATTGACAATTACTAGATTTTCCTTAAGAGTTATAACTAATACCCTACCAATTTAGAAAGCAAATCAAATATCTATAAAAAAAAGAAAACAAATCAAATTCTTGTCTCTGATTTTTTTTTATAAAGATAAATAATCTTTAAATAATTATTCACAATAAATCATAATCCTACAATCTACTAGTTAGGAAATGAATATATTAATTTTAATCATCATTATGTCTATTAAGTGATTTAACAATATCAAAAGAGCATAATAATCGTTATGAATGGAAATGGAATCAAATAATTGTGAGAAGTAAATGCATACAATGATGATATTAGTGTTATTTATTTATTTATTACTCCATTTTTTTAAACCTATGAAATTGGAATAAAAGTTACAATGATCAACGAATACATTATCATCAACAAATTTTTTTTATAAGAAAAAAAAAAAATCAAAGAAAAGATAGTACTCCGTACTAGTGTTGAAAAGATAAGTATTGGAAGTTTGAATGGTAAATAATTTTCAAACGGTAAAAATTCAACGCACCTATACTCTATACACGTTGATTCCCAAAGATTGAGTCAAATTAGTCAATAACAATATTAATTACCCCCACATTATTATTAACTTCTCCCACGTCCCTTAATATCCTCTCTTTTTATTATTCTAACCGTTTCATTCCCTTTTAACCCTCCTATATATATAACCTTTACTAGCCCACCTATTTTTCATTAATATTCATATTTTCATTCTTATTATTCCTCAAAAAACTTTGATATTTTTACTGAGTTAAATTATTAAAAATGATGAAGGTTAATATGGGATTTGCTTCACTAATCATGATTAGTGTGATAATTGGGATGCAATTAGGTGTTGTGGATTGTTTTAAGAGTTTTGAAGTAGGTGGTAATCTTACTTGGCGTGTTCCTGATGGAAATGATACTGATTTCTTTCATCATTGGGCTTCTTCTCAACGATTTCATATTGGAGATTCTCTACGTATGTTTTTATTTTATTTTATTATTTAATTTAAATTCATCTAATTTTTTTTATTCATAATTTAATATGTTAATTGTATCATCATACCATTTTTTTCACTTTATTATACCACTATATGTTGAATGTTTTAAATTGAAAGTTTTATCATACATGTGATATAATTTCTAATAAATTGGGGTTTATGTGCTTTTTGTTATGATTTTTTTTCTTTTCTTTTTTTTCCCTAATTTTAATTAATGGCAAGTTATAATTTTTTCATTTTGTTTAGAATGTATCATTTATTTATTAATAATCTTCCTAAAAGGATCCATTGAAATTAATTATGACTACATATTTTGAAATCATAAAACAAATAACCAAAATCTTTCTTATGTAACATAGCATGCTTGAGAGTTTGAATTGTTTAGGGTTTATATGCTTTGTTATGAGTTAATGATTTTATTTTTTAAATCTGAAGTTTTAATTTATTATTTGTTCATTTCGTATACCAAGCATATATTTCTTTGATAATAAGTCAAGAATAAAAGTGTAAAACTGTTTGTAATGACTAATAGAGAGTATAGAATAGGGTTTATATGTAAAAAGTATGAACTTTTTATTGGTTCCTTATTGGTTTAGATTAGGGTTTATATGTTTTACTTTGTTCTGAGTTTATCAATTTTTCTATCGAAATAAGTTTTAGTTTGTTACGAGTTTATCAATTTTTCTAATGTGCTCAATTTTTTAAAGTGTACTCCGTATGTATTTTAATAAAACAAAAGGGATGAATTGAAATCAGTTGAGATTACTACTTTTAAATCAATTGAAAATATGATTTTTAAATTCTTAGCCCCAAGATTTATTGTAATCAAATGTTATAAAATTAAAGGATTTATTGAAATCAATTGAGATTATGATTTTTTAATTCTTAGAACCTGATTTTTATTTTTTAAACTTTTGATTTGATTTGATTTTTGTATTTTTGGTAATGAAATAATTCTTTTATGTAATATATTATGAGATACTTTTTCTTTTATTTTTGGTGGTGCAGATTTTCAATACAAGAATGATTCAGTTCTAATAGTAGACAGATATGGCTACTATCACTGTAACAAAACCAACACCACTGGTACTTACACCGACGGCAACACCGTGATTAAGCTCGAACGTCCAGGATACTTCTACTTCATTAGTGGGAATGAAGAGCATTGCAAAAAAGGGCAACGATTGACCGTTGATGTCATTTCTCCACATTCACCTCCACCTGGTTCGCACGGTCAGCCAGCCAAGGCTCCTGCACCCTCAGTCGAGTCACCTACACCAACAGTCGAGTCACCTGCACCAACAGCCGATTCTCCAGCACCAACGGCCAATCCTAACTCGGTTTCTCAACTTCAAGTTTCGGCTCTTGTAGGGCTAGTTGCTACTTCTTTGTTCTTTGTTTGATAATATGCAATGAGGAAATTAAATGTAGGGAGATTGGAACCATTTTTAAATTGTATGTTACTTTGAAAAAAAAATATTATGCTTGTTGCATTGCTAGTATTCTAGTATTGCTATTGTGTAGCTAAATATGAACTTATGATTTTTCTTGGTATGTTTTAGGGTTTATATTGTTGATTAATTAAACACATTCAAATATTTTATAATGTTAGTTTTGCATTTGGTGCTCCTTTGAAATCTTTGGTTTATAATGTTTTAGTATAATTGATGTTGAAGTGTTAATTATTACTCTGTGTTCATTAAATTTTAAGTATGGTTGCGTAGACTCAAATATGTCTTATTAGTTGTGCTTAAATTACAATTATGTTTGAGATTATATACAAAATAATAAAGCATAAAGGGCAATTAATAATATTGGGTAGTGTTTGTTTGAGAAAGAGGGCAATTTGATTAAAAAAAAACTACTCCGCAATTTTTTGCACAAAACCAGCTTTTTTATATATATATTTTGCAATGAGACACCGTAATCAATTTTTTTTTTTTTGCAAATCAATCTCTTCATGTTGGAAAATGAGGTTTGACCCTATTTTCTGACGTTGAGTACCCCAATTAACCTAAGAAACCACCTCTCCCTAGTCTAATTCACGAAATCACCACCTCCGTCCTTAGCTCCACCCACTAAACCGCCTCTCCTCCTCGTCCCTACTAATGAAATCGAACTCTCTTCTTTACACCACCTCGCAAAATCTGGATTTAGGGTGGTGGGTGCCGACGCTAATAATGGAGGGGAAATGGGTGGCTAGGGCTATAAAGGAGGGTTTAGGGTGGTCAATGTTGTTAATTAAAGGGGTGTGTTCAGGGTAGTCAACACCGTTAGAGGGGTGTGTTTAGGATGGTTAACACCATGAAAGGGTGGTTGTGTGGGTGGGGTTGGGGAGGGAGGTGGTTTCATGGGGTTGGGGAGAGAGGTGGTCTCGTGGGTGGATTGGGGTAGCCAGCGCCTGAATATGGGGTCAAACCTCAATTTTCGGCATAAAGGTATTGATTTGCAAAAAAAAAAAAAAAAAAAAAAAAAAAAAACTATTAAGGTGTGTCATGGCAAAAAAAAAAAAAATATTATAAGGTGGTTTTGTGCAAAAAATTGTTTATAAAAGATGGTTTTTTGCAAAATTTCCTTTTTTTAATAAATAACTTTTAAATCTGATTCACACTAATTTATTGTGACCCTCAAATTAAGAAACACTAGAAAAAGGATATTGCTAACGGACGCTCTCAGAGAGATAGATAAGAATTTAAAATACATTTTAAAGTGGTATTTGTTTCGGGGTTTTCTGATGTCCGGCGGGAGAGTTACAATTCTGAGACTGGAACCGGACGCCTGTACCTGCAAAACAAACGGATGCTCCGGACGATTGGAGATCCGCCTCCGACGGTCAAGTTAGTACTTGATTAAGGAGTAATTAATGCGGAAATAAAAGTTATTGGGTCTCTCTAGGTGAGAGTGTTAAATGAGCGTAATCCCCCTTAATGAGGATTAATGGGCATATTTATATGCCTTGGGATGCGTGCCAGTACTAGGTTTAGGTTAAACCTAAGGCTGACTGGGCCTCCCACAATGACTGGGCCTTGCTGGCCGGTTTTCCCATTTGGCATGGGTGGACACGTGTCACATTGCAATTGGTCCAAGGAGGACGAATCTCTTGATGACACGTGGCAGGCTCCTATTGGCCTACATGAAGGACACGTGGCGAAACCTGGCTGGCCCACGTGTCGGATGCTGATTGGTGGATAAAAATCCCCTAATCATTTGCCCCTCACAGGTGGCACGTGACTGGTCACGTGTTACCTGTGACAGGTGTCGCACCGTGACAGGCGACGGCCTGCTACGGGTGTCACTCGGTGAAAGGCCGAGAGATTCTCCCGCCCAAATTTTGAATTTTGGAAGTGACCCTTCGCCTTCTCACTTTGCCTATATAAGGGTGTGTTGACTTCAGTCATTTTCACACTTGAGAACTTTTTAGAAAGAACATTCGGACCCTTGAACTTGCTCTGACATTCCGGACTCTTTCTGCCTACCGCCTGCTCTGACAAGCCAGCTATTCAGGATTTTCAGAACTCCGTCAACTTCACTCGTTCAGGTAACCGTCGGTTCTCTTACTCTTAATTTTCTCTTTATTTTATTCTTTTTTGAAATGGCACCACGGAAGCACACGACACGACCTAGGTTAGTGATCAGCCGGTCACTGGGGACGGCTGAATCTAGGACTAGGAGTGCCGCCTTCCCTTTTCCGGACCCATCTTTGCCCTTTATAAAAAGTCCGACTGTCTCTGTGTCTATGCAGAACATGATGGCCAGAACAAAAAGAACTGCTAGGATCTCGAACTCAGACGGCTCCTCCCACAGGGTGCCGATTAGTGAAACATCTGACCAGGCGCCAGATGTGGAAGTGAACCAAGGCGGCTTGACAGCCGACAGTTCTGAGGGAGGGGTCAAGGTGACCCCTTCCCATTTTACAGTTGACACGTCTACATTCTCTCCTACTCCTTTTGAAGGAGAGAAGGCGGGCCCCTCTGGGAGAGAGGAGGAGTCGTCCTCTTCGGACTCGTCAGAGGACGAATCCGAGTCTAGTTCTTCTGGTCATGCTTCTCTGGACACGGAAGAGAAAAACAACCGCCTACAAGAGGCGAGGCTTTCTCACGCAGTTGAGAAGGGGGACAATTGGGCGGAGCCATCCGCCTCTTACCGAGAGCAAAATACCCCTTACTACTGCACTGTCCCACGGGGTCGGATCACGGCCATGCAAGAGAGAGTGGGGAGCTTTATTGCGAACCACACAATGGGCCTCGGCTTTTTAGTTTTCGTGCCGGATCCAGAAGACACAGTCGTCTGGCCGGCTGGTACTAGTTATGATAGCGCCTGCTTTGGCTGCTACGAGGCGGCCATCAGGGCTGGGCTGCGCTTCCCACTACATCCGGCTGTTCAATGGATCTTGGATGGGTATGAGTTGGGGTTATAGCAGTTAGCCCCAAACTCCTGGGTCAACGTACTCGGCTATGTGGCCGGGTGCAAACTGCACGGGGTGGAGCCAAACTTCGAGGCTTTCGCCCATATGAACTACCTCAGCCGGACCCCTAAGGCAGGCGGTACCGGCTGGTATCAATTGACGAGCCACAGAGGCTACCTCATGACAAGAGGTAAAGCAAACAAGTGGAAGGATTGGCGAAGCACCTTCCTTATCATTGAAAGTTCAGACACAGAGCTGAACAAGCGCTTCAACAGGTGGAACAGGAATCCGCCTGTTCTTGCAGGCGGCCGAAGCATGCCGCCTGTTCCCCCTAAAGCCAAGAAAGAGATCCTGGATAAATGACTCTTTAAAGTAGAGTCGAGGGTCGACTCTAATACAGGGGTACGAGAGCAAGTACCCCTGCACTGCGTCCCGAGCTTCAAATGGCTCTATGACGAGTACTTTTTGGCCGCCTGTGGCCTTAGCAGTCGGTGTTCAAGAGGTAGTCGGCCTGTCGAATACTCTTTTTTTGCCATGAGTTACTGTTTATCTTTCTATTAACTTGGTATCTTGTCTTTGTAGCGAACGCCATGAGCAAGATCACCGCTTCCAAGACTGCGGCGGCCATATTGCGAGCCTCTATTATGCAACAATCCTCAACCAACTCCCCCAACAAGGGGGCGCCCCTGGTGAGCTCCGAACCTTTCACTCTCTTTTTGGGGTTGGGTTTATGCATATACTGGCCGAGTGTTTTTTTTTTTTTTTTTTTTTTTCAGACGGGCACTCCAAGAACCTCTTCTTCCCAACAGCCGGACTCCAAGACCCGGAGGACGAATGTTGCGAGCTCTCCTGGTACTGCCAGGAAACATGCGGCGGCTGAGAAACAGTCGTCCACTCCTTCTAAAACTCCAATCGGGCCGCCTAGAAGAATGAAGTTGTCCTTGTGAATTTAGACTTGCGCCCTTCTTTACTAGGTCTAACCCGTTTGATTATGCTTGATGCAGTCGGCTCTCAGGAGCCAGACTTGGTCGAGGTGGCCAAGTCTATGATCAAAGCCGTCCCTCCGGCTGAGAGGGAGGCGGTCAGGGGTGTCGGCACCCTTGACCTAGACGGGATTGCAGGGGTCCTTGCTGAGGTATACTTAGCATATTTTTGGTTATTTAAATTCCAGGACGCCTGTTTTTTGTTTGAAAACTGACGCATGTTCCCTTTTACTTAGGCCCTGCTCCGAGTGAACGACCTTCGCAAGCCGCTTGACAGGAAGAACAAAGAGGTAAAGGCTGCAAAAGCTATGGCCGCCTCTGACTGTGATAAGGCAATGTTTCAAATTGCCCAAAATGAGATTTTGACAATTGATATTCTTTATTATCGGGCGCAGGCTACTTCTGCTATCCGGGCTCAGTTAGAGGCGGCCCAGAAGAAAAATAATGAGCTGGAGGCGACCATCAACAATCTCAAGGCCGAGCTGAGACCTCTTCGCCAAAAAATGTCCTCATACGACACCTTGGAGAAATCCTTGGCACACGTTAAGGAACGCCTGGTGACCCAGGAGAAGAGTCTTACTCAGGAGCTCTCGGCAAAGGCCGAGCAAGAAAAGAAGGAGCTGGTCCGAGAGATGATGGAAGACTCTGCTCAGATCCAGCGCCTGACCTGGGGCCGCCTCTTCCCCAATGCCGACTTTTCCTCATGGGAAAAAACGTACCGCCAGTGTTCTAATAGATATAATCAAGAGATCCTGGCGGCTGCTGAGGACGAGGCGTTAGAGGAGGAGGAGCCGGTAGTGGCGCTTGTGCCGCTTGGGGTGGATGCATCGAAGAAGGATGCAGCTGAAGCCGAGTCCAGCAAAAAAAGTGCTGACCAGGCGGCAGCTGCTATTATTGAAGATCTGCCCCCTTCTTAAGCTTTATGTCTTCTTTTTACGGCCTGCGTGCCGTTTGTTTCTGTTTACCCGGCCAGGGGGCCGGGGTTTTGAATATTTTGCCGGTCTTAATGACCGGCTTCTTTTTGTATCTTTTACCCGGCCAAGGGGCCGGGGGTATGAATATTTATGCCGGTCCTTCTAGCCGGCTGTTAATATAACTCAGGCGACCATTATTTTAGGTCGCCTTTTTTCCAAAATGTTTCGAATTTGTTTCGACTTTGCTAAGTATCGAAACTCTGATATCCAATTGCATACTATACCGACTGTTTTGCATGGCCGATAGTTGCGGACAGGTACG